GGCAGCGGGGGCCGCGGTGCCGCGGGAGCAGCCCGGGCGTGGCCGGTGGCGCAGCCGCAGGGGTGGCGCGGGCGGTGTTGCGGTGACCGGGGCCTCCGCCAGGAGGAGCCCGGTGACAGATGGCGCCGGGCCGGCCCCGCGCCCGCGGCCCTCAGGCGGCCGGGCAAAACGGCTGCATCCGCGCTCTCCCCCTGAGCGCTCCTTCATTTGCATGAGCGAAATGCGGTTAACGCCGGGTTTGGATGTCTTAAAGCTTGAAGATGTTTTATGGTTCTAATTTCCCCAACTTTCTATTTTATTAGCGGGTCGGTGGATTACATCTTATTTCCATTTTAGCCCGAACTTCTGTGCTGTTGGTGGAGGGTTCGCCTGGCCGGGCCCTCCCTGCGGTGCCAGGGGAGGGAGGGCCGCAGAAAGGGCCTTGCGGCGCCAGCGGGGCTGAGGGGGGACGAGCCACAGGGCAGTGGCGTGAACTGCTCCAGGAGCGACACGGAGGAAGACTCCGTGCCGTAACACTTTGCTCCTTTGTTAGCTGTTTGTGGTAGCGCCCAGAGACCTTGGCAATGAATCAGTCTCTGTGTATTAGACGCAGTGTTGCTTAAAAGTGAGGGGGAAGGAGGTGGGAGATGGTAGTTCTTGCTTTGTGGCAGTTTCTGATGGTTCCTAAAGAAAAAAAAGGTTGTCAGCTACTTCAGGACCTTAAGGGGACTCCCTGTTCCAATAAGTAGATTAGCACACCTCTGAGAAACAGAGTAACAGCTTTTAGACGTTGCATGCAGTTCTGTCCTCCATTGCCAAGACATGTTGGTTTGAAGGGTGCCGATGGTGTAACCATTGGCTAAACTGTGTTATTTGGAGATACCTCTGTGACTGTTTTCCTTCCAGGCATCAACAGTGCTGAGGAACAGATGGACAGTGCAACTTGAGAGGGAATGGATGTAGAGATGTCAAATCTTGTCCAATTTCTCCACTTCATCATCTTTTCCATCTATCTCTGCTGGCAGGCCATTTACCAGCTACTTTGAGGGCAATGTTTCAATGCCTTTTCCAAGGGATGACTTTATTCAGTAGGAGTAGGTCAGGTTATTGTAATTATAATTATTACTATTTATTGGCATATCTGTTGTGTGGAAAGCAGGAGGATCATTTTGCTTGGCATTACACTTAACTGGTATGCCAACTTGCATCCTTATCTATTATCTGAATCTTTGAAATAGTGACAGATCAGACTGTGAACTAATAAAAAAAAAGTAAGAATGGTTAAAATGACAGCAGGCTCATGAGATCTGTCAATAGAACATATTATAATGTTGGAGACTCTTGATTCAGGGAGTTCAAGAAATACGGAAAGGGTACACGCATAATAATTCCTATTTCTTAAGTGATAGCTGGCTGGAGAGTGTTCATGTAAGGTTTGTGTGACAGTAGAACAGGCTGCTGAGCAGATAATTTTATTTCCTTGGTACACAAAGCAGTGTAAATAACAAAATGATTCTGCCCTTCAGAGAAGCATTTTTCTGCAACTTGGTAAGTGGCTTATAGCCCTGATAACCATCAGAATAACAACACTTGCAAATGAAGTTGGCAAGTAAAGTTGGTCCCAAGTGTCACATATACATGTAGATAGGGTTTTCTAAAGGATGAAAAAGGTAGGTTTTGTTTTGTGTCTTTGTTCCTTTGTTCTGTTGGCTGTGGTGCCCTGTCTGTGCCAAAAAAAAAAAAAGGCAACCAAAATACCCCCAAAAACCCCCACCCAAACAAAAGCAGAAAATAAAAACCGCCACAAAAAGATTTTTTTCAGTGAATAAATCTCTTGTTTCCATGTGTAGCACTCTTTAGGCAGTGGCATTATTTGTCTATGGGATGTTTGAATAACACTTATTCTAAAATGTTGTCTAATAAATACTGGTCATATTTTTCTATTCCTCTATGACTTTGTCCAGTTTTGAAACAATATCTGGAAGACTAGGTCTGGTATTAGAGGGAAATGACAAATCTTATAAGCCAATTACTTCTGCAGGAAATTAAAAAAGTTCACAAGGTCATAAGGGAAGAGATGGAAAACTGATGAGTTGCATGGTATGCCACGGGACTGTGCAAAGAGCATGAATATTTCGAAACCTTATTATGGTATAGTCTGCTCTGGGTACTCTTGTACTGGGAGGTAGAGAGGATCCTAATCGGCAAGGACAACGTTCTGGCTCCTGTGCCACAGAATGATAAATTGCTTTGGAGTAACTTCAGACTACCTGGAGGGGAAAAAAATGTTGAATAAATTGCTGCAAGTAGGAGGATGGGTGAGATGATAATTTCACTCTTCCCTTTCCTTGCTCTGAAAGAGGATCTCTTCTTTCTGCATCCTAGAGGATGTAGCAGTGCCTCAAATAGCATTTATTGCTGCAGTAGGACACCACAATAGTGACACAGCAGCTAGAGTCAGCAGGATTTGCCCTGCAGAGTGCCACCTTGTTCCTGTCCAGGTCAGAGTGCTCATCGGTACTGCATTAAGATGCACTTATATTGGACATTTGTTTAAACAATCACACTTTCCAAGAGTATAGCACAGGAAAACATTTTGTTCACCTTCTTGCTCCATGTCTTTTATTATGTGTTTCATTTGTTCCTATTCCATGCCCAAACTGAAAGGAATAGATCTTCTGTGACACTGAATGTACAGCAAGTTGTTTTATTTTCCTCCCCTCCCTGTGCCCCCCTTGATGTTCAGAGGGTTTACTGAGAGGTTTTTGTGCACTTTGCAACGCAGACTGTCAGGTAATAAATAAACTATATTACTCTGTGTCAGCTGTCACCAGAAAATGAAACTAAGAACAAAGTTTTCTTGAGCTGCTGTAGATTCTACAGGCCTTGAGACTACTGAACCGTGTGACGCAGTGATTACTAACTCTGTCTTGGTTACCTGTAGAAAGCTGGAGCTTGCATCCTAAAAAAAATCCTCTTTCTCACCAGTGGCCAGCAGAAGCTGTTGCACAACATGGAGTTACTCTGCTGGAGAACTAGAATGGCAGTAACTGGGAATACGTCAATGAAAAATCAACATGCTTCACTTGTAAGAAGGCAGATATTAGATGCAATAAAACTTTATATTTTATGCAAGAGAGAACGTGTCTCCAGGAGATGGTGGAAGATCTCTCAGTGAGGACCACATCAATAAACTCTGGAGCTGAACTTCTTGTTTCAGTTAACGCACCACATCAATAAACTCTGGAGCTGAACTTCTTGTTTCAGTTAACAAGAAATTAGAAATCTGTGGCACTGGCCTTCAACGGCTGTATTTCAGCAGACAGCAGCAAAGAGGCTGGAGTAGTGATTCATGCTGATATCCTGGTTTTGTTCATAGTGCCCGTGTAGTATCACACCATCTAGGAGAGGCTGCTCCTTACTGGGATGTGAAGATCTGTAGTGTTTGGTGTGATCCAGAATGTACAACTGCTCACACTGAAGGTGACTTCCCCAACGTGGCATGGTGCCACTTGCTCTGGGAGCAGATACTGCTTCCTGCTGTGATATGAAGGCAATTAGCTTACAAAGATTAGATTAAAGAGCAAACTCAGAGGGTCTCAGTGAGATCACAGGCTTTGAAGGAGTGATTACACAGAGTGAGTTGTGGGGTGGCTTTTGTAACCCGGAGGATGCACAGGGTATAAGAGCAGAGAAGCTAGTGTCTCTGAGCTGTTTAGTAGTTTAAACATCCAGTGGACTAGTGACCAATGCTGGATAATGGAGGAGACATAGAACTAACGTAACAAACACGGGTTGCTTGGTTAGGCAGTGGTGTAATTTATTTAGCCTCGTAGCTTGTTGATTTCACTTGTGCAAAGCCCAAGTTAACTGAGGGCTTGCTCACTGCATGCCCTTCGGGGATAGGTGTTAAATGGAAGGTAAGCATCTTAAGTACTCTTCTGCTTCTGAAGACTTCCTCCTAAGTATGCTCTTTTGGAAGACCATCACTGGTCCTTGTGTGTCCTGTTAACTTCTGTCTTCACTTCTGGTTTTGGAGTAAATGTAGTAACAGCTTACTTACCTTCTTTCTTTTTTTTTTTTTCTTTTTTTTGTTGTTGTTTGGCAGGAATTCGTTCCTGGAACATTAACATTCTGTCCTGTGACCTGAATCAGCAACTGAGACTCTTTGTGACCCGACACCTGGCACAGTTTTCTTCAGAAGTCAAAGGTCAGCTTTTTGGTTTATCACCATTAACTTTTAACTTTTCTTTTGGGTTTGAAAAAAAAATACAGAATAAAGCTGACTGTGATTTACAATGTCAAACTGAATTAATGAGTTGTTTGCCCGATGCTTAGCGTTGGACAGGCATGTGATAAGAAGTGTTTGCTCAGGAAAGAGCTAAGGCATGTATAGAGATGGATAGGATTCCAGTAACATGAGCAATTCTATGGTCTGTTTGCATGCTTCACTGACAAACTTGCTGATCGGTAGCAGTGATTTTTCTCATCTATTTAGAAATACAGATTAATTATTATAATTGTGCTTTAAATTGACAGATATTGGTCTCTCAACTAAGTGACAGAACAATGGCCTGTCACTTTAGTAGAAATGTTTGTGATCTGTAAGTCTATCTTCTGACAGTGCAAGGTGGGAAATTGGTATCTATCTTCCTTTCTACATAATAGTTCTAGGGCCACAGTGCAGGCTTTAACCAGCCATGGCTATCTGCAGGATCTGGCAGAGCTGAAGAAACACGTGTGTTCATCTTCTTCCTTGATGTAGGGATTTCACATGTTGCTATGTATTAACCAGTGTGCAATGGAGAAAGTTCTGAATTTGGCTCAAATTGTTTCTTAAGATTCTGGTGGTACCATACTCCATTAACACTATGGAGAAGCAGTGACAGAGTTTAGACACCAACCGGATGCACTCTGTGTTTTAGGACAATTCCCAGCTTCTCCTGTAGGAATTTGTGCGTGCACTGTCCCTGACCAGTCCGTCCCTCTGTCTCTTCAACCAAATGTTTGTTACCTGGGATCAAGTGCAATTGTAGTTCATCCTATAGCAAACATGGATGCAGGATATATTGAAGAATAGTCTGTATAAACAGCTTCTTGAGGTGCTGCAATTCAAGATTAGGTTTTGTTTATGCGGGTGTAGTTCTTGCCGTGTAAAACATTTCCCAATAGTGTATCTCTTCAAAAGCGATACACCAAATAATTTATTTTCTATCAAGTTTCATAATCTAATCTGAGGGAGGGTGCTCTTCCCCTGTACTCTGTAAAAGTAACTCCTGGCATGGATTCCTAACTCCGTTTAGTATGAACAGCTCTATTGTAGCTGCGATGAGTTAGCGGTGACTCGGGCAACAACTACAGAAGTGCTAATGGTCAGTTGGAGCAGCACAAGCGAATTTTGACTGACACGCTGTCTAAAAAGAGTGGGTTTTCTGTCCTGACTTACAACTCTTATTTACAGAGATCCTCCAAACAGACAAGTCTCTAAGCCCCTTAGGAGGTCTTGCCTTTGTGCCTGAGTTTGTCCCGTGGGTCTGTTGAATAAAGGTATCCTTACGCTTCAGGATGGTTCAATGTGGCTGTTTGGACAAGTCTCTTTCCAGGGGCGCTTGTTTTCTGGAAGATGATGGAGGCAGTTTGTGTAACACAAGTAATGTCTTCATTAGTTCAATACCTTTGGAAGCCACCTGATTGAGAAGAGGCAGGGAGAAAAGTGGGTGGTGGTCATTTCTTTCCTTAGGAAAAGGCAGTGTGGCTTAGAGCTAACTGCAGTCTCTCTGCTAGCAGTGGCTAACGCTGCTAAAATCTCTCTCTGTGCTGCTTTTTGGATGTTGTGGTATCGCTAAGGATCATAATCATATTAAACAGCATGGGATGATTCTCTTTGTAGGGCAAACTCATCTTAGGTCAGCTGATTTCACTAAAGGTGTTGAAATTCCCTGTAGAGACTTGATCCCGAATTGGAGGCTTGCAGCTTAAGGTGGTGTGAGAGATGCTGCCACTCTTCCTTAGAGCCCCTCCCCATCATTACACATCTGCAGAATTTCCTGTGGGACTACACATTCCTGATAACTGTGCACAGCATCTCCTTGCTCTAGTACTTTTTTGGGAAAGGAAAAGCGTAGCTGGCTCTCAGCTGTTCCTGCTTCTGCTGTGGTCAGCAGTATAGATGTGAAATATTTTGGCCTGGTGATCTTGGGAAAGTGGACTGGTCTTTGGAGCAGATCAGTTACTACAGATAGCTACTTGGTTTGTGACGAGTGTGTCCAGGCATATGTAATTTCTCTAATAGAGTCCTGTGGCAGCACTTAAGGCAAGAAGAGCCAGGCAGAGACAGGTTTTGGGATTATGAAGGTTTAAAGAGCAGGTTTGCATCAAACTAGATACTTTCACGTTCCTATTGATTGATCCAGTAAGCGTGAATCTTGAAATGCAGCAAGATGATCCCTCAGAAGGGGTCTGTCCGTGGACTGAAGAATACTGAGGCAAAAGGAATAAGCATGGGAGTAATGGCCACAATTTAAAATGTATTAAACATCTGTCTAGAGCTGTAGAAAACGATGACAGTCCATACAGCTGAAGATTGCAGCAGAAGATAGCGTAGCTAAGAGACGAATGCTGAAAGGCTTAAACTGAGGAGTTATGCTATAATCCCAGGATTTGCTTGGTGGTGGTGGATCTTGAGTAGGGGGAGGGTGTGGGAGAGACTGCTACAAGAGAAATTTCAGGTCACAATTTATAATATAATCTAGAAGAAGCTCTAAATGTAAACTGGGAACAGTCTTGACTGAATTCCGTATATACCATCAGATAATACTCTTAGGAAGGCAGCAGCAGTCTTAACAAAGGCTCTTTTAGCTATCCTCCTTCTGCTTGAGCAGCTCTTCTGATTACTTTAAGAATCTTTCTAATTTATTTTTTAACTTCTGTTGCAATTTGCATATCCTGCAACAGCCCTATGAAGATGTGTGTGCATTGCCATTCTGTTCCAGAAGGACATACATAAAACTAGAAACTTTATAACAGTAGGAGTTGTTCAGCTCTATGCTGTACATGCCTTCTGCTTCCTGCTGTGGGCACAGAGGAGAGTGGCTGCAGCTGGTTTTCCTCTTGGTGTTCCTAGCTTGGTGTTAGCTCCTCTGAGCAGACGGCTGTACTGGGCATCCCTGAAATCCCTTCTAGTTCATGTTTTTATGATTCCATACTACTTGAAAGTTCCCAGTCTAGCTAGCGTGAGGGACGTGTGCCCCTATACTTGTATGCTTAGCAGCGTCTCTGGAGGATAAAACTCTTCAGATGTGCATTCATCTCAGACTATCATTCCCTTAATGGTTAATGTTTGTGCTCTGTGACTAGGGAAAAGTCAGCTGGAGGACAGCAGTTACTTTAAAGCCAAAGTAGTTCTTTCACCTCCTGTTTAATGCAAAAGGCTTCTTACTCTGGAGGCTTGTAACTACCACTAAAGTTTGACACCACTGGCAAGAAACAAAAGATATAGGCTGGTAATACAATAGACTAAGTAAAGCAGTCTAACTGAATATTCCAAGACTTTCCTGTCTGCAATTTCTCACTCAGTTACAGTAGTGATTTCCATACTGTATTTATGTTATGTTAACGCTTAGTGTTTGAAGCTGAAATCAAAACGTAACTGCAGTACTCTGTGAGAACAGAGAGGGCACAGTTACCCTGCTGATAAGTTTTCAGTCTATTTAGAGATGATGAGGAACAAATGAATCTCAAGTGCTTTACAATGGAGAGGAGGAAAGCTGAGAACAGAGCTGGTAGTGGCGAGGTGGTCATACAAGCAAACAAGTGAAGATTTTATTTCTCCTTTTCCTGATTTCTGACATGTCTAGTCACTTTTTGACTGCTGCTGAGCAGTGAACTGACTCCTGAATAGCGGCTAGGACTATCATAACCTCAAGATCTCTCCCTAATGGTAATAGTTAACTCTAGTTAGCAATAGTTAGTGTCACTTTAAGTGACACAATTGCTGTTAAAATAATTTCAGTGTCTCTAAAATATATTCTTAATTTCTTCCAAACACAGAACAGAAATACTTAATGACTATTTCTGGCTCTTTGATTCGCAGAGCTGTTTTAAAACAAGAGATAGCACAAAAGCAAAAACTTTTAAGATCATATATAAAACTTCATTTCAAAATGCTGCTTTTATCATCTTTAACAGACTTTTTTTTAACACCAAGAGAGCTCCTCTGGAAACTACATATCTTCAGAGTTCTTTTTGATTATATTGGGCTGCATTTTATGTTTTAGATGCCAGCACGCTGAACCTCCTTTGGTAGGCCAAACTAGGAAGTTATCAGGATTAATCTTTTGTTTTCCTTTTGTGTATTTAAAAATGTTCATTTGTTCATAAGATACACATTATGGTTCTCCCTGTGATACCCAAAAAGGTACTTGGTGAGGATAAGAAACCAGAGCTCCAATTAGCTGTCTTGCCCTTCAGCTAAGCAGAGGTTAATTTAACATCAGTTTCTTGCTTTCATGCTGCTCTGTCCAAATGTTGATTCCTGACTGAAGGTGCAAATGGTGCTTCTCTCACTCCAAAATTCATGTGAGCTTTAAACTGACCCTCTGCAACTGACATTTCTCTGTGTGTGCTATATATCTGAAGCTGCTGAGGCTTCAGTAAAATCATACGGGATCTGCTCATGTGAAGCATCATCCCTATGAAAGAAAGTTTTTCATAGATGCTCTGGTTCTGTTAAGCTCCTCTGCTGCATAGTAAGGTGAAAATTCTGTTCAGCTTTTTAAAAGCAAATAAAATGAAAGGCAATGTCTCAGTGAATTAGCTAAGTGGTCTATCTAGCCCAATGTTCTGTCTCCAGAAGTAGCAACAAGAGATGCAATTCAGCAGAGCACATGAACCTAACTGCGTTCAATTGCCCTTCTTCCTCCTCACAGCTCCCTCACTTTGATATTTTTTATGTATTTTGTTTTAATAAGCTCCTTTCTAAATTGAAGAGTTGTGGACTTTTAAGACTTATGATAATGCCACTGTTGAAACCTCTTTGATTATCTAAGCTAAAGCTCAATTGATAGACACAACGCTTTGTATTATCTTCATAAACAGCAACAGCATGCAGTGCTATCCTAGATCATCTTTCACCCTTATAAAGATAATAGAGTTCATGAAGCTGTACTTCTAAAGAATGGGAAAAAAACACATCACCTCTGAACCAGGTCA